CTGCTGATGCTAAGAGTAATTCTGAATTGGAGGATGCTCGGAATACTTACTCACAAGCACGTGGCAGGTTTTTCTCCAGCATGCACACATCCAGATTTGACGGGAAAAGACAGAAAAGGCCCATTCAATGCAGCTAGAGGTGTTATAAAGCTAGTTTCTCCTCTTTGTTTTACTTACAGTTTGTCAAACAAAATATGAGCTTTTTAACATCACCGAATATATCCCGATTATGATTTGCAGCTGTCCATATTCTTAAATGTGTTTAGTTCTCTCCTCTAAAAACCTCCTCCCCACTTTGACTTGCACCTCAATCAGATTGAGCATTTGAAGGTGAAAGCTCTTGGAACAGCTCTTTTGGAAGAATAACCCCTCCCCACCATCTCCTTCATCCCTTTGGACCTGCAGTGGCTGATGAAAGGCTTTGCCACGCTGAATCCTCATGAGTTCAGCTCTGGGCTGAGCAGAGGGAATCTCTAAAGGGAGGAGCAGAAGAGCCAGGGAAAGAAGAAGCAGGGGTGAAGGCATCTTGCAGAGTCACAGCAGAAGAGAGAGAAAAGTTTGCATCTTTCCTGTTCTTCGAGAGTTGTTTTTTCTATCCCGCATATCAAATTGAATCTTGTGATGGGTACGGTAGCCTTGTCAGGGCGACCCAAATTATTACTTCAGTGTTTGGCTCTCAAATACAAAATAAACCATAGTAAGTTATTAGACTTCTGGACTGGAAATCTCATGAGATTCTCCTTAAACCCTCCCCGCTTTCTTTTATAACAGAAAAGACCTGCTACTCCATACTTCCCAGATATCTTGAAAGAGTGACTTCTCTCTATCCTCTCACCTGCTCTTTAAGCAATAAGATTGGAAAAACTAAAATCCTTCGGGGGCAGAAATTGTGCTGGGTTTGCCTAAGCAAGCTGATCATCTTCAGTGCCTTCTCCAGACAGAAGCCAGCACTGGAACTCCAACGCCCTGGGAAAAGGCAACTTCAGTTTCCTTCTAAAACATGAAATGAGATCTTCTTCAGCAAAAACTCCAGCACCAGAAGAGTACTTTGCCTCATCTCTTGCTCTGGGATGGGAACGTTAAAAAACCAGGACTTTGAAAAACTACTGCTGCTGATTAACATACAACAAGGCAGAAATTCCCTGGTGAAACAAAGTGCGGTGATGAAGTGCTAAAAAGGCAAAGAGCTCCAGAAAGAGGAAGAATGAGACTTCTGAAGTGGAAGACTGATGGCTCTTGAATAGAGCTGAGGGACAGCAACATCTCATATTCCTTTGCTCTCAAACCTCTGGCTTTGTGAAGATGCAAACTACAGAAGCTTTCCACAAGAGCCCTGGTGTTTGTGATGCTAAATGCTCTGGGGGTAAGGACTTGCCCAGGCAAGGCAGAAAGGGAGAGAAGGAAATAAAGCAAAGCCTGGCACAAAAAGCAGCAGGCTGAGGTTCATCCCATGTGCATGTTTACATTTCAAAATACATCACTTTGGAAATACCTCAAATTTTTCTAAAGGAATGACGATGGCCTTAAAATTCGGAAAGCCAAATTGTAAGACGAGTCCAAGAGGGTATAAATCATCTCCAAGAGTACAAACAATTAGGAGGTTCTGGTTGAGATTCCAAAATCATTCCTCCCTCAAAAAAAAAAGCTACAGAACAGAGTGTTGAGCGTTGCCAAAAAGGGCAGGCCCACCCTGCCCTCTCCCAGCAACACGTTCTTGGCGCATCCTTCCAGCTGGCACCACTCACACGTGGCCAGCTTGGCCCATGAAGCAATCTGGATGAAAATCAACCTGGCTGAAATGGGGGGGGAATAGTGCTGCTTTCTTGCACGATCATTTTCCTGATTAAACATCTAGCTTGGCTGCATAAATACTGGGGTACGTGCACGACTGGGGCGAGGAACACAAACCTTGGGGTTAGCGTAGACTCTGGGTAGAGCTGAAGTGGATCATGGACACATCAGAAGGACACGTGTGGGTGTGGGAAGTTGTCTGCAGTGAAGGGACGGCCAGTTCCCCCTCTGCCTGGGTGACCAGTTAGCAGGGTCTAACAAAATGCCACCCACAGCTGTACAGACCGGAGCAGAAATGAGGAACATTCCCATCGTCGTCTGCTCACAGACAGCACTGAGTACTTCAAATGAGCTAAATATACATCTAGGTCACTTGAAGACCCTGTCCTTCTCATATACAGCACAGCATCTTATATGCCTTTTACTTGAACTATATCAAAGCTTTGCTGTAAATCTGAACGATGACCAGGTCAATATGAAAGAACACTAACAAATAACAGTCACTTTGGGCTGTATATGTTAAAATACCAGCCAAACCAATGTTATCCCTTGTTTATCGCATGCTGGATCACTAGCCAGTGGAATGTAAAGACCTTAATTTATCAGTGTTGCTAGTATTTCTCTCTGTCTGTGAAAAGACCCTGTGAAATTTGTCTTTGAGATCTCCCTCCAGCAGGTCAACAAGTTGTTCCAACAGCATCCCAGCCCCGGTGCTCAAAGCCCGGTCCAGCCAGGGCTCACATCCCTGCGTGCCAAACCACTGGGAACAGGGTAGCCGCTTTTGTTCTTGACCCATCTCCTATGGACAGTATACGAATACCTGGCAGTTTACAAAAGAAGCAACTAAAACCAGTCTGTATGTGAAGCAAATTTTAAGGGTATGGAAAAATTTTTGTTTTCAACGGCTGTTAATGTGCTAACCAACTTGCCTTCAAGCCTCCTAAGGATGAGGCAGGGTTTGTTCGGTGGATGACTGAATCAGCTAAATTGCTAACTATACAGAGAGCAAATTAGTCAAGCAAAAGCACTTGCACCTCCATATGAATGTTCATTTTAAACTGGGATGTTAGAATGGCTTAGACCAGTAGTCGAAATCCTAAACAGCAAATCTTAAGGAAAAAAAGATTATACCCAAAGAAAAATAAATGAATATTTTGCCATTTTAAGCATGTGTAAAAATCACAAGAAAAGTTCTGACTTTCAAATATCAAGGAAATAAAAATGCACAAGTTCTCAGTCCTTCTGCTTCTAGAACTAATTGCTTTAGAGCAAGAGTGCTTCCTTTTTGTGGCTTTGTTACAAACCCCTGGAACTAAAGAGTACCAGAATAACAACCTCAGCCGGGGTTAGTGAGGTGAACCGCAGCTCAAAGTATTCTCGGGAACACTTTTCTGAACACTGAGGATACGTTTTAAAAAAAATAAAAAAAGGGAAAGAAACACAAAGGGGAGATAAAAAAAATCCCAAATCAGTTTTCTAGCATCCAGATATAATGAGCAATGACTTTGGTTTCTTCTGACAAGCAACCCTAAAAAAACGAAACCAAAAAACCACAAGTCAAGCTCTACTGCTTTGAAAATACTACCATAGCACATGTGCCGTCTCCACTCAAAACAGGAGGAAAATGGAAGCAACCGATGTCAAACAGCAAACTTCTTTTTCCTTTTCTTCAAAGGAAAGTAAAGAAATTTTTTACGTTTAAGCCGGCTTGTGAAACAACAATGGGAAAAAATCAGGATACATCTGACACAGCATATATTAAGTATAAAATAACATAAAATAAGGCTGATTAAGCAACTCCAAGATGAGGAAGAAACGTGCAAACAACACATGGAACGTAATACCGAAAAAGACAAAGGCCATGGCTGGTGTTCACCTAAGTCTTGGCCAAGGAGAAGTCGTGGCCAAGGAGAAGAGGTCGATTTTCTGAAGTCATGTGGCTGTACTTACTCTGTGCTTCGCAGTCCACACAGTGAGAATTGCCTCTGATGTTCCTTATGGACTGAAGGGCCATGGCCTCGTTCTGACTCGTCAGGCGGGACTGCGTACATTTAAAGAAATGCATAAGCAACAAATAAGAACCCAATAAAGTTAGATGACACAACTGTCAGCTGAACGACTGGCAAAACCCAAAGCTTAGACTAAGGTTGAATGAATGTGACCAAGGAACCTCAAAGTCCTTGGTTTGCTTCTCAAGACATGGTGATCCTTTGGCATCTCCAAGTACTGCAAGTCCATGCCTGCCAAGCAGGGACTCCTCTTTGCTCCCATGTTTCTTGACAGTTTGGGATTTCTCCCAGGGCTCTTTCCACCCTGTACAGGAGCTCCCAGCATTTTAGGGTTTCCAGCCTGGATTCTAACAAGTGGGGAGACCACACAGAGGGAAAATGGAGCTTGAAAATGAACCCTGCTATTCACTAGAATAGTAGTCACAGTGTAGGTTTGCTTCCTGAGAAAAATTAGATAAGAATATTATTTTATAAAATCAATTTCTTTTATTGATGTGTATGCTTTTGCTAATGAAGACTAAGGGATGGTTTGCAAAAGCAGCTGAAACCTTTTTATCATCAAAAGGTCAGACTTAATCAGACAGCTCCCATTTAAATCCTCTCCATGATGACCTGCCAATGACCTCTATTTAGACCTGGAGAGACCGTCACCATGTACAAGGAGTTCAGCTCTGGATAACTAAACTGTCTCGTGGGCTCTCTGAGAAGAAAACTGTTAGCTGTAGCAAGTGATGGGATCTTTGCAATGAATGAATTTAAGCAGGATGAGGACCAGGTCTTAAGTATGGGCATGTGGAGATATGTCCTCCTGATCTATCAACGGGACACCTCCTAAACCTGTCCAACTAACTGCACTTTGCTATTCCAGCTAGTTCTTTGGACATGTTTTGAGACCTCAGTAATACTTTATAGAAAAAAAAAAACACCTCTCTGAGCCACTTACCAGCCACTCTCTATCCTCTTTTGTATTAGTATTTTTATGTCAGTTTTAGTGTACAAATTTCCTCTTTTGTGCTCCCTTAATATACATATTAGAATGCGTAAATCCATGAAAGGCAAGAAAACACGTAAGCAGTGATTCTTCTCTATCTCAGAAATACATACTGGAAATAAATACATTTTTTAAACAAAATGAGAAGTAATGATGTATGTAAGTATGATGACGATAATTACTGGTGCCTGATCCACTCTGGCAGATCAGGGCAATGAAAGGAGGCATTCATTTAAAACTATGAGTCTCCTCCTTGCAATATAAAATCATTAAAGACAACCGTTAGGTGGAAAATGTTAAAGTATCCACAGGTTTGAACAATTATTGCCCATTTCTCTCCCTTGACTACCACTCAACACCTTGCTCTCCAGTTGTAAAGAGTTTGCCGGCACAGAGACTGAAGAAGCAGAAGCTCTCCTGCTCTTGCAAAAATGAGCAATGGCTGAAGAAGTCTCAGATTTTAAACATTTATTTTGACAGGAAAGGAGGACAAATTACTTCTGTCACCGTATGAAAGGATTGCAATGTAGAAGGCCTGTTCCTCTTAGGTCATGTTCTTCTTCCTCCATAAAGCTTTGATGGACTGTTTCTGGATTTGCTTTGTGTTATATTAGTCAAGGCAGAAAACCATAAAAAATTAATTCAGTGTAATTAAAGAAAAGAAAAATTGCACATACGCTTTGATTTCTGTGATTTGCATTACTTCATCATGCCAGAATCCTATGGCAGAACATTGTTCCACATTTATGGTTAGGCCAACCAGAACGTTCAGTTAAATTTTGCCATGCAGGAGTTTAGCAGATTTAACTAGAGATCTGACTAATTAAATACGCTGGTTTTGGGGTCTGCCTCCACTCTTCTCTGAGACAGGTTTTTCCTAAAGGGTCTTCTGCATACCTCTAACCTGACACACCTGAATCTGTAGCAGTGACAGAAGCACAGAATCACCAAATCGATTTGGCTGGGAGAGACCTCTGGGATCAGAGTCCAACCTTTGCCCCTACACCCCCATGTCAACTAAACCATGGCACTGAGTGCCATGTCCAGTCTTTTCTTAAACACCTCCAGGGATGGTGACTCCACCACCTTCCTGGGCAGCCCATTCCAACACCTAAACTATAGTAGTCCAATGACTACACTTATACAACTTCTCCGTAGGGACAGTCCATGACCTAGCCCCTAAGTTTCAGTCAAAATTTTAAGAGCAAAACCAAAGGCAAATATAAACCAGGATAAACCAGGAGCTCCATTAATCCAATTGCCGTAAAAAAACCCCTGTACCACAGGCTACAGCACCAGCTGTCTTGAAACATCTGAGATATGCCTGCAGCTCGAACGCTGCTCTGTTGTGTAACACGTGCATGTCCCTAGGAGTATAGGTTTAAAAATCTGAGTTCTTCAACTTGCTTTTGTCTTAATGATCACACACCCGTTACTTATTTTCAGTATTACTCTGCGTACCGTACCTTGTTCTTGCTGCTCTCGCACGACTGTAAACTGGCCAAGATCTGACTCTCTATGGCTTGTACCCACGCATCTCTTTCTTCATATGTGGTAGCTTCAAAGTGCCAGGTCTGGCCGGTGAGAGAGACGATGATAAACTCAAAGTTTTCTTCTTGTTCTGGAAAAAAAACCAAAACAAAAACATGCGGTTGGAAGAAAAGATTAAGTTTAAGGATATCGATAGCTAGGCCTAAACAATCTTGGTTGATGAGCATTTCTGCAACGTAACAAGCAAATGCAGGTCTGGACATATGAGGTTTGAGGCTGGATAAATCCAACTACCCCGCAGTTGCACCATGCATCACAAAATGACTTGTGGATCTGCCGCTTTTTCTCTGCAAATGTTACGTTTTGCGTAAATATTCAGTTCCTGTGCGCGTTTGTGAGTTTGGCATTGAGTCTACACCTTTCTTGAACACAAACTGGCTAATGAGCATTATTTAGATTTAAACCTGAGGTGCTAAAAGCTACATAACGTAAAAATCAAGGTGTGTCACAAAATAACTTCAAAGGTGAGGGGACTACAAAGAGCTGACAATACAGAAAATTGGACAATTTACCCTCTGCCTTCAAGCAGTTTTTTACATGCACAGATACATTAAAAGTGGATGTGTACATTTTCTTGTCTACAGCATAAATACGCTGGGTTATAATACAGGATTAAAATCAGTTCGACCTATTCAACATTCACGTTCGACACGGGAGATAAGAAAATGATCTGAGAAGCTAGCAGAAAGGGTCAATGAAATATCCTTAGGGCTACTGGAGTATAAGGACAAGTATTCAGGCCAGAGGACCGCAGCATAGGAAAATACCAGCAGAACTGAACTAAATGGACACACACTCTAACTACACATGGGACGCCAAAGTCAAATTAAAAAAAATCAAGGAAGCTGAAAGAGAATGAGCGGAATTGGCAAGGGCAGGCATGAAGCATGAAAGGAAAAGAATAATAGGGCACAAAGTTCTGGTGAACATCAGCCATAATGGGTTTTAGAAGGAGCATTTACATTCGCTCGTCTGCTAATGACTTATTATATATTCAGAGCCATGAAGCTCCTGCATTACCTTGTCATCCATAAGCAGGCAAAGATAAGTGACAAATCTAGCGCTAGCTTTAAAGACAGTACTGCTGCTCACTGGCAGTCATTTTCTCAACCTGTGGGACAACTGGTTTTCTTTGATAAACTCCGTGCTAGCAAGGCCAGCGCTTACGCTGCTTTAATGATGCCTCAAAAAACAGCAGAAGGTTACTTTGCACCTCGAGGTGAGAATAAACATGGAGGTGAAGGTTATTTCCAGGTGCATGAGGGCACCTGAAGCAGCAGTTTTACTAAAAAAAAAATAGTGCGTGGGATTAAGTGGGAAAAGAGAGGTAAGAGAAACAACGCAACTGTGCAGCTACAACTACTTTTCCATTTTAGCAACACTGTGTTAGAAACAAACAGGTAGAATCATTATCCAAAATGCTAGGAATAAATCATGGAAAAAGACACATTTCTCAAACAGAGCTTTCAAGAGTTTGAGAGGAAGACGTAAGAGGAACTACTCGACACTAAAGGAAATGAGGTTCAGTCCTGTACGCTGTCTCCTGTAGGACAACCCACTTACGGTCTCTACTCACGTAGAAGCAGTACGGCACACCGTCACTGGGGAGAGGTACAGGCATATGCAGAGTTACACGTATGTTTTTTTTTTTGAAGGAAGAGAACATGAAAAACTGAATCCCACCTGAAGCAGCCCCTGCAGAATCCCATTTAGGGCATTCATCGTTTTAAGGCCTTTCAATGGCTTTTAAGCGATAAAAATTCGTACTCCCAAAGTCTTGCTAAAGGAGGATTTCCAAATGCTGGTCCCTAAGTGTTCAGAAAAGCCTTCTCTCTAACTGACTCGGTACGGGTGGCACTGAGCCGCGCGTATCCCGCAACAGGCAGTAACCCAACGGCCCTTTTCAGCCTCGCTCCGTTTTCCGCACCTCCCGCCCCGCTCCCGCAGCCCTTCCCTTCTCCCCTCACAGCTCCGCTCCAGCCTGCATCCTATTTTCCCTGCCTCTCTCTCTCCCCTGACCATAGGCCATACCGCTCCTACGTAAGCCAAAGGTTTAGTGTAAGCCGAAGGAGCTGCCCTACTAGAGAAATCAGTTGTTTTGTCACTTCAAGTTCCAAATTCCCCACATCTCCTTTTTAAGCAGGGAGGGATGCAAAGACATCGAAGAGGTCGATGAGAGAGGAGACTTCTCCAGGGCACTGGCAAGGCCGACTTCTCAAAGTATAATAACTCAGCAAGAATATACCATATATAACTAATACTCAACAAGTATACATGATGCATTTTTAAAGAGTCTCTCTGCGCGACTCCCGTACCAGTTCATCCCAGCATTTAAATGCTAGGTGACTTTCCAGCATTACAACTCCAGACCTTAAAAGAAGTACACATAGCATCGCTGAATGCTCCTATCTCCTACTTGCCAATAATCCTGACCACATACATGAAGCTGGCTTGCCCAAGAAGGGCTTATGAGAAACAAACCCTGCAATTCAGCCAGCGTGCTGTTTAAAAGCAAGGTTGAAATACCGTCCTCGCAGCAGTACCTCTGCAAGCTTTCCTTTCCAGAAATGCTACACAAAGTTATTCCTCTGCTTACGGGACACCTATGGCAGAAAATACAAACCCGGCTATTCAGGCAACTGGAATGCAATTCAAGAAACACCTCCAGCCATCTCCTGCGGTCACTCTTTTATACGCCAAGTCTCCTTTTCCCAAAGGAGAAGCTCCCGTGTTTAATCTCCTGACCTTTTCTGCTGTGACCAGCTGACACCGTGACAAAAGCTGTAAAGACCTTGTACAGCCTTTGTGGCTCGGGATGGCAAAGTCCACATAACACGCCGGTGAGTCTGTCCCGGTATGGGCCCACTGTGTTTTAAGGCTGGGCTGAAAGGACATTTTCATTTCATCAGTAACTTAGCTGAAAACTTGGTCATCACTGATGATCCATTAAGAACACATAAGTTTTCACTCTCTGATAGGCACGGACACTTCAGGTTTACTCCCTAAAAAAACCCAAACCTCAGATGAAAAGCACCTGTGCTAGTTGAAGATGTGTTCAATAATACATTTTCTGCTTAAATACACCGAATTTTTTTTTTGTAAGCACGACTGCGAAACAAAGCAGCAGTGCCTGCTCCACGGCACCCACGGGACAACGCCTGCAAAAGTCAAGTAACAAACATGTATGTCCTTAACCACTGCATAGATGAACAGGAAAATCCAGGCAGCAGAATGAAATTGTTCAGTTTTACTCTTCAGTAAAATTATAGGTTGGGCTATTTAAATCCCTGTGAGCCCAATCACAAAATTTTATTAAACAGTTTTCCATGTTTAACAGTTATTCATAGAAAGGTCCACTATAATAGTATTTTAGCACCATCAACCTGTCGAAATCAACCTGCCCAATTACTCCAAACTACATTAATAACACCGGATATTACACTAATTGTGTCCAGTTTCTATGCAGACGAGGTCCCGCGGGGCTAATTTTGCATCCTCAGGGGCAAGCAACTCAGCCATCAACCTGATTTCACTAGGAATCCCTCCTCATTACACAAGTCCAGGCTGTCAAACTTTTTTTTTTTTAAAAAAGGTTAATGGGCCAATCAGTCATCAATTATTTCCTGGAAGGCCAGCAGACAAAGGGTTAAAGTGCGAAGAACCAGCCGCAACTGATTTCCATTTGGAAGTTATTATCAACAGGAGATGTCTAAAATGTTATTGTTTTTTTTTGGTTTCCCCTTTTTTTTTTTTTTTTTTTTAAGTAGGAAGGGGTGGCTGGGATGGGAAATGAGCTGAACCTGTAAGATTGTGATGATATGGAACCTAAAGCATAAGTGATTTCTTTTTTTTTTTTTGAGAGAAGCAGTGGAAGTGGGCATGCAATCAGTGAATTTTAGGAAAACCACCGCACCATCATAACCACCACACCACTTCCAAGAAGCCACACGGTACCACCGTTTATGCTGCACATACTATTTTCACCATCACCTTTTCATAGTAAAGTTACTGCATTTAACCCAAGTGAACATTTAGTTTGCTCTGCCAAAAGACAGACGTCGGTACAGCCCACCCACTTATGGAAAACAAGATATACAATTTCTTAGAAGCAAAGGATTGTGCAAGGGAAAACAAACATTTAGGCATGGTCTCACTGCATTTCCGTACCAATGCCTGTGTTTATTGTGTGTAACAGAGATCAGATTCAGAAAACTACACTGAAAATAACTACAGGATACAATTAGTCTATAACTTGGTCCAGAGAACTTAATTAAGTCTACTAAAATGTAGGGACAACATACGTC